TGAGAGGGCAAATACCTTGTCGGACCTACTGTTAATTAAGAGTTCAACAGACTTCCAAAACTACATGTAAAGACTTAGAGAAGGAAACTAACACTTACTGAGCACTTGCTCTTCACATCTGTGATTTCAGTCAACACTAAGAGGGTAATTTTTTTTTTTTTTTTGAGACGGAGTTTCGCTCTTGTTACCCAGGCTGGAGTGCAATGGCGCAATCTCGGCTCACCGCAACCTCCGCCTCCTGGGTTCAGGCAATTCTCCTGCCTCAGCCTCCTGAGTAGCTGGGATTACAGGCACACGCCACCATGCCCAGCTAATTTTTTGTACTTTTAGTAGAGACGGGGTTTCACCATGTCGATCAGGATGGTCTCGATCTCTCGATCTCATGATCCACCCATCTTGGCCTCCCAAAGTGCTGGGATTAGAGGTGTGAGCCACTGTGCCCAGCTATTTATAATTTTATTCATTTTTTTTTTCAGCGATGGGGTTTCACTCTGCTGCCTGGGCTGCAGTACAGTGGTTATCCACATGTGTGATCTTTTTTTTTTTTTTTTCTTCCCAGCAATGGGGTTTCAGTCTGCTGCCCAGGCTGGAGAACAGTGGTTATTCACACGTGTGATCATCATGCACTACAGACTCCAACTCCTGGGCTCTAGCGATCCTCCAGTCTCAGCCTCCTGAGTAACTGGGACTATAGGCATGAACCACCACACCCAGCTTTAGGGTAACCATTATTGCTCTCATTTTACAGAGGAGAAAACATACTCAGAAAGGTGGAGTGATAAGTTCAATAGTTGTGAGTGATGACATTCCACCAAAACCTGCCAGGATGTGAGGCTATGCTAGTCTAGTCTTTCACTGTGCTCTTCTCCCTTGCCTGCTTCTATAGCCTCTCAATCCAAATTTACTATATCCAGTGAACCTCAACAGACAGGAAATCTACATTCCACAATAACACTCAATACTCAGTAACTGTGAAGTAATCAGATTGAACCATGCCTCTGCTGTTCAGTGATGAAAGAAAAGCTAATGGGAAAGCTGAGTAATAGAGATAACATTTCTCATTCCTACAGGCTACAACATGTATACGCTAGAAAGGACTTCAATGAGAGATCAGCCATGTTGGCTGAGCGTGGTGGTTCATGTTTATAATCTCAGCACATTGTGTGTGTGATTGTGTGTGTGTGTGTGTGTGTGTGTGTCTGTCTCTCTCTCTCTCTCTCTCTCTCTCTTTTCTTCCCCCTAAACAGGATCTTACTCTCTCACCCAGGCTGGAGTACAGTGGCACAACTACCGCTCACCGCAGCCTCAACCTCCCAGGCCCAACTGACACTCTTGTCTCAGCCTCCTAAGTAGCTGGGACCACAGGCAAGCGCCACCATGCCTAGCTAATTTTTTAATTTTCTGTAGAATCGAGGTCTCCCTATATTGCAAAGGCTGGCCTCAAACTCCTGGCCTCCAGCGATCCTCCTGCCTCAGCCTCCCAAAGTGCTGAGATTACAGGTATGAGTCATCACACCCAGCCAGGAACTCACCTCTACAAAAAATGTTTTAAAAATATATATAGCCAGGCATGGTGGTGCACACCTTTAGTCCCAGTCACTCGGGAGGCTGAGACAAAAGGACTGCCTGAACCCGGGAGATCAAGGATGCAGTAAGTCGTGATCACACCACCGCACTCTGGTGACAGAGTGAGACCCTGTCTCAATCAATCAATCAATAGATCAACCACATAAAACAGAGCAATGTGGGGAACAGAGAAAAAAGAAAGCAAGGCCGGGCACAGTGGCTCAAGCCTGTAATCCCAGCACTTTGGGAGGCCGAGGCGGGTGGATCACGAGGTCAAGAGATCGAGACCATCCTGGTCAACATGGTGAAACCCCATCTCTACTAAAAATACAAAAAATTAGCTGGGCATGGTGGCGCGTGCCTGTAATCCCAGCTACTCAGGAGGCTGAGGCAGAATTGCCTGAACCCAGGAGGCGGAGGTTGCAGTGAGCCGAGATCATGCCATTGCACTCCAGCCTGGGTAACAAAAGTGAAACTCCATCTCAAAAAAAAAAAAAAAAAAAAGAAAGCAATAAATGAAATTCCAACAAATCGTCTTGAGGATAGACTATACCACTATGAAAAAGTACATGTGTTCCTGAAATCCAGAAGTTATGAAGGACAACTAGCATCAATACCAGCATAAGGGCATTCCTTTCCATTTTAAGGAATTACTTCTGAACAAATAAAAGAACTTTACTAGATAAGTGGTCAACACATAAAAAACATACCCTAAAAGATGCTGTAATAGAACTTAAGGAAAGGTTTAGATCCATTTGTGAGTGAAAATTCAGACTTATTAAATGGAATAATAATAATAGATAACACATTGTGTCAGGCACTGTTCTGGGCACTTTTACATAAATAACTCATTTAGTCCTTAGAGCAACTCTGTGAGATAAGCCCTAGTATTTTCCCTGTTTCACAGATGGAGAAATTAAGTCCAGAGAAATTAAGTAGATGTGTCCACAATCAAATTGCTGGTTAAGTTAGTGGAGCCAGGATTCCAAGCCAGAGGGTCTGGCTTTAGAGCCTGTACTTGCAACCACTGTCCTACACTGCCTCTCAAGGGAAGAGAAGGTTAGTCATGCTTAATCATTATAAACCAGAGACTGATATGACAAGGCTAACTAACAAACTTTCTGTGAGAGGCAGAACACTGGCTCAGCCCCACAGGTCTAACCCTAGCCAACTAATCAGGGGTGGGGGGGAAATAGCTAGACAATCCTCTCAGTCCTACTCTGCTTTAATTGGAGAAATGGGAAACTGGACTGATCAAGACTTAAAAATGAAACAAGCAATTGTCAAAGAGAGTTAGTTCACTCAAAAAGTGTGCATTTGTTACTTGTTAGATAGCAACAGAATCTGGTGTGAAAAGTTCAAGGTTTTCCCCCAGGGTGCCAGCATGGTCTTTTGCAATCCTACCTCTACCAGCTTTGCAAAGGAGGGCAAAGGAGAAGCAGAGCTTCAAACAAGTGCTGGCCAAGCCCTCTTAAAGAACCTTAGATCCTTTCCTATTAAATACATACACAGGGAGGGCAAACTTGCAAAACCAAAAGAATCCTTGGGCATGACAATGGCTCCAAGTGGCAAGATTTTTAGTACTGTTTACAGCACTGGCAAATTAAATGTCCTATAAGAATCAAGAACTGAGCCGGGCACAGTGGCTCACACCTGTAATCCCAGCACTTTGGGAGGCTGAGGCCAGCTGATCACTTGAAGTCAGGAGTTCAAGACCAGCCTGACCAACATGGTGAAACCCCATCACTACTAAAAATACAAAAATTAGTCAGGCATGGTGGCAGGTGCCTGTAATCCCAGCTACCTGGAAGGCTGAGACAGGAGAATTGCTCCAACCCCGGAGGTGAAGGTTGCAGTGAGCTAAGATTGCACCGTGCACACCAGCCTGGGTGACAGAGCAAGACTCCATCTCAAAAAAAAAAAAAAAAAAAATCAAGAACTGAAGACACCCTTCAATCCCAACCTGTGGGTATTCCTAACACAAAATAATTCAGAGAAACCCAGACCCCAAGAAGCCTCAGTATTTCAGCAAACTGAGCTAAGGCAAGAAGGGGAAAGCCCTCCTCTTAAGACACTTGCCAAACTCCAGAACATCTGACAGTAAGAAGGCCAGAATCAGTCCTTGCTATTTCCCACGTTTTACAATCAAGACATCTCCTTCCTGAATTATTCACACCGCTAATAGAAGCTGGTATAGAGGAACACACCAACTCTTTTAAGTGCAATTCCTGTAACAGACATGCAGAATACAAGAGTAAGAAACTAAGCAGTGGTCTTCTGCCTCGAAAGGAAATGAAATGCTAGTTAAGCTGTTGAAAACTCCTAAAGGTGTTTCAAGGAGATGGAAGAGGAGGAATGAGGCCCAAGTTGAAACTATTTTCTTCTTCTTCATTCTAATCCTAACTCAACTCAAAAATGTTTGGATGACTAGTGCAGTCACACATACAGGTTCAATACAGGCTTAACAGGGCACACGACTTGGGGCAAGTCACAAACCCTTAGTATTTATTTCTGCGAAATGGAGGTTAACAGGCTGCACTTCATAAAGGTTGTAGCGAGCATAGTGAGCACTAAACGAGAATATAGACGTAATGTGTCCTCAACATGACAGCACATATGCAGTTAAATGTAAGATCTCTCTTGGCCTTTTTCTCCTCACCCCACCCCACCCCACCTTTGGACTATAAACCCCTTCGGAGGCCTTATCATCCACTGCCTCCCAACCGCAGAGGCACAGGCGTCAACACTGGTCCTCATCGTCCCCTTATTGGACTGGGATTTGGCTGAATCTGCAGGTGAAAAGCTAGAGCGAAGCCCTCAGCCAACAAAACCAAACCCAGGGAAGCAAGGATGGGTCTCAGCCAAAAGCTTAGTGGCGTCTGTTGTTCACAGTGCGTCCCTTTCCTATTAACGCACTGAGAGGGTTCGACTATATTATTTCTGACTCTCCAACTTGACGAGAGAGGAGCAAAGGTGACTAAAGATGAAGAGGCTGGCAGCCACTCCAGGAGGCTGAGGCCGTGACGGAGCGGGAACCCAGATGGAATCAGGCCCCTCCCAGGAGGGGACAGCCGGGAGCGATCTATCGTCTCCCTCTCAAACCCTCGCAGCTCAAGGATGGGGACTTCCCAAGGGTCCCGCCAACCTCCCCGCCGAGCTTAAGTGGGGCCAGAGGTGCTGGCAGGCGGGAAATGGTGACCCGTGGACACGGCCAAACACCCAAGACCGGACTCCGGAATGTGGTCAAAGAGGGGTCACCGGGGGAGGGGCCGGCTGGGGAGGACCTGGGGAGGGGCGGGGCTCAGGAGGGGGTAAGAGGTCGGGGTCCCCAGCTTCGGAAACTCGGGGTCCCTACCCGGTTCCCAGCCGTATGCTGAGCGCCCCCTCCAGCCGGGGGTCTCAGCCGCACAGCGGCACAGTCCCATTCCCCTTACCTGGCTCGGCTGCTCTGCCTGCTCCGAGGACGCCATCTTTCTGAGGCCTGACTAATCAACCGCCGCTGGACGAGGTTTCTCCCAGACGCCCTCGCTCTCGCCCTCCAGCCCAGACTAAGGTAGCCGGAACAGAGCCCGTCGATGTGGGGGACAGGGGCAGAGGGTGGAGCCCGGGTGTCCGGGTCACCTTGCACGGTTTCCGTTAAGTCTCTGCTTTCCAGGAAGACCCCAAGTCTTTATCTTGTTATATGTGTATTATTCTTAATGAATTAAATCTCTGCCCGTCTCCACAGTGCCTTGGGCACATTTAGGGACTTGCCAAGTATGTAATAAATGGATGAATGCTAAGAAACTTGGAAATCAATATTTAGACATAAGTTCAGTTCCATTTATTGGGTGCCTAACATATGCTAGGAACTTTGGTAGGCGCTCGAAATAAAAAGATTCAAGATTCAACCCCTACTCCCACGCTCAGGCCAAATACACAATTACAGTATCGTGGGGATAGGACTCCGTAAGTGTGCAGGTCTATTGGGAGAACACAAAAGGGAGTATTTTAAAGAGAAGAGGCTTCTACAAAACGTCATTATTTTATCTGGGTTGAACTGGTTTTGTTTGTTTGGATTTTGTTTATTTTTGAATTGATAGATTTTTAAACTAAATACTAAACAGATGAAGTAGCTCACATTTTTAATGCCAGAGCTTTAGGAGGCCAAGGCAGGAGGATCCCTTGAACTCAGGAGGTCGAGGCTGCAGTGAGCTATGATCATGCCACTGCACTCCAGCCTGGGCGACAGAGTGAGGCCCTGTCTAAAAATAAGACAATAAAATAAAAATAAAATTTGATGAAAAAGGACACATACATTAGCGCTAACGGTGAGTTCATATTATAGTTGTTTTGATAGATATAGACTACTTAAAAGGGATGACTTAATAATTCCTTCTACCAAACGCTGTTTTAAATGCCTACACTTTTCTTGAGATATCTAATTTTCTCACCCACGATTTTGTTTTGTTTTATTTGAGACAAAGCCTTGCTCTCGTCGCCCAGGCTGCAGTGCAATAGCACAACCTCGGCTCACTGCAACCTACCCCTCCCTGGTTCAAGCGATTCTCCTTCTTCAACCTCCCGAATAGCTGGAATTACAGGCACCTGCCACCACACCTGGCTAATTTTTGTATGTTTAGTACAGATCGGTTTCACCATGTTGGCCAGGCTGGTCTGGAACACCTGACATCAGGCGATTCATCCGCCTTGGCCTCCCAAAATGCTGGGATTACAGGCGTGAGCCACCGCACCCGGCCCTCACCCACGTTTTTGTAAACAAAATATGCGGTAGGAGGATTCCTTGATCCCAGGAGATCAAAACTGCAGCGAGCCATCAGCCACTGCACTCCAGCCTGGGAGACAGAGGGAAACACTGTCTCAAAAAAAAAAGAAAAAGAAAAAGAAGGGAAAAAAAGAATCCGCCAAATGAATAAATATTAGCAGATAATTATTTCTAGTTTCTGTAATTTTAAGAGAGGAACTTTTAATCATTTTTTTCACTATGCTTTTGTTGTTGTTGTTGTTTTGTTGTTGTTGTTGCTGTTGTTGTTGTGAGATAAAGTCTCACTCTATTGCCCAGGCTGGAGTGCAGTGGCGCGATCTCGGCTCACTGCAAGCTCCATCTCCCGGGGTCAAGCGATTCTCCTGCCTCAGCCTTCTGAGTAGCTGGGACTATACGCACGGCACGCGCCACCATGCCCAGCTAATTTTTGCATTTTTAGTAGAGACGGAGTTTCGCTAGGTTGGCCAGGCTGGTCTTGAACTCCCGCCTCTACCTCCCAAAATGCTGGGATTACAGAAGTGAGCCACGGCGCCCGGCTTTATTACTATTCTTTCAATCTTAGATGTTAATTTTTCAGGAGGAAAAAACAAACTTTTCTATAGTAGCAGTACTAAAACAAGGATGAATATGTTGTCAAGAGGCATCTTAACAATGTCACACATTCCCGAGGTTCGCATTTCCCCTTTCCTCTCCGATGCATTTGACACTTGAATGCTTTCTATATTTATTTAAGCATTTTGTTCTGAGACCACCAAACTAATTTGCACAGTTGAAGCCGGAAACAGAATGGGTGGAAAGGTGCGGATGTCTGTTATTAGTATTATGCATCTCATATGCGAATAGGAATGCTCAATTCAATAGAGTATGCATGCGTGTGTATCGTCGTGCAAAATAAATCTTTATTGGCCTTATTTGTGAATGCGCGAATGCAGCTCCTAAATACAAGGCAAAAACAACTCCTGGGCTGAGTCGCTCAATATAACGAAAGCGGCTTTAAACCCAGAGACTACAATTCACGGCATGCCTCGGCGCCACACGTGATTAGTGGCAACTAGAACTACAACTCCCGGCGTGCCCTGGTCTCACGTGTGATTTGCTGCGGAGCGAACTACATCTCCCGGCAGGCTGCGGAGGGGTTCGGGTAGGAGGACCGTCGCCCGGCCTCCCTTAGTTTCCCGAAGCGGATCAGGTCCCACCTTGGAGAGGATGGAGGTGACCGGGCAAGCCGGGGCACCAGAACCTGGCGAGATCCGGATTCTAAAGCCGTGTGTGCTGCGCCGCAACTACAGCCGGGAACAGCACGGCGTGGCCGCCTCCTGCCTCGAGGACCTGAGGAGCAAGGGTTAGCTCGGGAACCCGGGCGAGCGGCTGGGGGAGCCGGGGCCTGGCGAGGACGTCCGGCGGGGGCGAGGCGAGGTCAGGAGAGGCGACCTGGGGATTCTTGCAACTCGGCTGTAGCCTTGGGACAGATATAGTCCGAGGGGGCATCGCGATTTACAGATTTCAGGCGCTTGAGCGTAGTTAATTTCGTGTGAGACTTCACAGTGGTGGCCAGAGAGCCAGGTAGCAATATGTAAATTAAGCCAAACTCGGCTTGGGTCTCTTGCCTGAAATCACTTAGATGTTGGACCAAACCGATCCCATTGCATTCCTGCCACTCGGGCTCACTCAGGTGGTACAAGGACCCCACCTGAGCCCACGGCGGGGTGGGGAGGGGTTTCCACCGTCTGCTCTGGCAGGAACCTGTGCAGCAAAGAGGGAGCTGCTACTGACCATTTCTGTTGGTCCAGACAAGGAACGTTAATTGTAAGTAACTGAGCCAACAGAAGTTCTGAAACCGGCCCCATACCTTTACCAGCTGGCTTGGCCTTGCACGTAACCATCTCTCAACCCTCAGTTTTCTCCTCAGCAAACTGGGTTAATATTTACAGCCCTGCTTCAAAGAATTGTTGGTTCTCTCAAATAAGATGATATGTTTAAACTACTTACAAGCCTTAGTAGCTGGTAGCAACAAACTGGTTACCCAAAGAAGTTTTACAAGTTAAATGTGTGAGCCAGCCCCAGACATGTAGTCTCAGTCAGAGGGCACAGTTACTTCCTTTCACTCACCAACAGAGATCATATAGAACATTTTCAGAGACCCATTAACAGCCAAAGCATTACAAATGCTTTGCTGATATGAATTTTGCGTATAAGCATTCATGTGTTTTTTCCTGGCAGTCTTGCTCTGTTGCCAGGCAGGAGTGCAGTGGCACAATCTCGGCTCACTGCAACTTCTGCCTCCCAGGTTCAAGAGGTTCTCCTGCCTCAGCCTCCCGAGTAGGTGGGACCACAGGCACATGCCACCACGCCGGGCTAGTTTTTTGTATTTTAGTAGAGACAGGGTTTCACTATGATGTCCAGGCTGATCTTGAACTCCTAACCTCAAGTCATCCACCCGCCTCTGGGATTACAGGCACGAGCCACTGCGCCCAGCCGACACCAGCTAATTTTTGTATTTTTGGTAGAGATGGGGTTTCACCATGTTGACCAGGATGGTCTTGATCTCTTAACCTCGTGATCCACCCACCGCAGCCTCCCAAAGTGCTGGCATTACAGATGTGAGCCACCGTGTCCAGCCAGATTACTTCACTTCTAATTCCGCTTCTATGCCTTGACTGGATGCTCAAGGCACAGAGGCAGGTGTTCTCTGCAGCCCAGCCGATACATAACTTTTCTGTTCTATTGGGTGGTAGACAACACTGTTGAAGGGAATTTATAGTCTCTTGGCTATTTCTGCTTAGACCAGTCCTGTTAGTATTTGAAGGATTGGCCGGGCACGGTGGCTCACGCCTGTAATCCCAGCACTTTGGGAGGCCGAGGAGGGTGGATCACAAGGTCAAGAGATCGAGACCATCCTGGTCAACATGGTGAAACCCCGTCTCTACTAAAAATACAAAAAATTAGCCGGGCATGGTGGCACGTGTCTGTAATCCCAGCTACGCAGGTGGCTGAGGCAGGAGAATTGCCTGAACCCAGGAGGCGGAGGTTGCAGTGAGCCGAGATCGCGCCATTGCACTCCAGCCTGGGTAACAAGAGCAAAACTCCGTCTCAAAAACAAACAAAAAAAAAAGTGTTTGAAACATTGCTGTCACTAAATAGGATGGCACAGACCTGTCCTGGAGAAAGCCTCTCGCCCACTAATAATGATCTGAAAAACTACTGACACCAGCTTCTGCTTCTCTTATACTTTCCCAAAGGTTAGAAGAGAAGCTGCTAAGGAAGATACTGTAGAGAGAAAGAAAAAGCATTTTCTTTCTTTGTTTTTTGGTGTATTTTTTGACATTTGTCACACGTAGGAGAATTTAACAGAACAACTGAATAAATGAATGAAAGACCTGCTTGTTCGCAAGGAATCAAACCAGACTTTGATTGGTTGTTCATTCCAATAAAAATTCAAATGCCACCGGGCACAGCGGCTCATGCCTGTAATTCCAGCACTTTGGAAGACTGATGTGTGTGGATCACCTGTGGTCAGGAGTTCAAGACCGGCCTGGCCAACATGGTGAAACCCCATCTCTACTAAAATACTGAAACTACCCAGGTGTGGTGGCACATGCCTGTAATCCCAGCTTGTCGGAAGGCTGAGGCAGGAGAATCACTAGAACCCAGGAAGCAGAAGCTGCAGTGAGCTGAGATTGCGCCACTGCACTCCAGCCTGGGAGGCAGAGCAACACGGAGAAAAAAAAACTCAAATGTCTACCATACATGAGTGCAGGAGTGGCTGGAGTAAACATGCTTTTAGGAGCCAGACTGTGTGAGTTTACATCCCAGCTTTGCCACTTTTATTGTGTGGTCTTGGAAAAGTTACTTAACCTCTCTGAGCCTTGGGTTCATCATTTATAAAACAGAACTAGGCCGGGCGCGGTGGCTCAAGCCTGTAATCCCAGCACTTTGGGAGGCCGAGGCGGGTGGATCACGAGGTCAAGAAATTGAGACCATCCTGGTCAACATGGTGAAACCCCGTCTCTACTAAAAATACTAAAAATTAGCTGGGCTTGGTGGCACATGCCTGTAATCCAAGTTACTCAGGAGGCTGAGGCAGGAGAATTGCCTGAACCCGGGAGGCGGAGGTTGCAGTGAGCCGAGATCAGCGCCATTGCACTCCAGCCTGGGTAAGAAGAGCGAAACTCCGTCTCAAAAAAAAAAAAAAAAGAAAAGAAAACAGAACTAGTAATAGTACCTACCTTACAGTATTATGAGATTAAATACCGTTTATGAAAAGCACACAGGGCTGGGCTGTAGTGGCTCACGCCTGTAATACCAGCACTTTCAGAGGCCGAGGCGGGTGGATCACGAGGTCGAGAGATCAAGACCATCCTGGTCAACATGGTGAAACCCCGTCTCTACTAAAAATACAAAAAATTAGCTGGGCATGGTGGCACGTGCCTATAGTCCCAGCTACTCAGGAGGCTGAGGCAGGAGAATTGCCTGAATCCAGGAGGCAGAGGTTGCGGTGAGCCGAGATCGCGCTATTGCAGTCCAGCCTGGGTAACAAGAGTGAAACTCCGGGCCGGGCGCGGTGGCTCAAGCCTGTAATCCCAGCACTTTGGGAGGCCGAGGCGGGTGGATCACAAGGTCAAGAGATCGAGACCATCCTGGTCAACATGGTCAAACCCCGTCTCTACTAAAAATACAAAAAATTAGCTGGGCATGGTGGCGCATGCCTGTAATCCCAGCTTCTCAGGAAGCTGAGGCAGGAGAATTGCCTGAACCCAGGAGGCGGAGGTTGCGGTGAGCCAAGATCGCGCCATTGCACTCCAGCCTGGGTAACAAGTGCGAAACTCCATCTCAAAAAAAAAAAAAAAAAGAGTGAAACTCCGTCTCAAAAAAAAAATAAAAAATAAAAAAAAATGAAAAGCACACAGGGCCAGGTACAGTGACTCACACCTCTAATCCCAGCACTTTGGGAGGCTGAGGCAGGCAGATTACTTATGATCAGGAGTTCAAGACCAGCCTGGTTAACACGGTGAAACCCCGTCTCTACTAAAAATACAAAAATTAGCCAGACATGGTGGTGCACACTTGTAATCCCAGCTACTTGGGAGGCTGAGGCACGAGAATCGCTTGACCCTGGGAGATAGAGGTTGCAGTGAGTTGAGATCACACCACTGCACTCCAGCCTGGGTGACAGAGTGAGACCCTGCTACAAAAAAAAAGAAAGGAACACTTAGAACAGTATCAGGCATGTGGTAAGTATTCTATTAGTGCTAGAAGTTATGGTCATTATTCTAGTTATGACCTTCCAGGAGCTCTGCCCAGCTCTGGAGGCATACATACTTGAGATGCAGGAACAGATGTAATTTCCTTATGGCTATTTTGTCAGTTGCCAAATATTTTCTTCTTTTCAGCCTGTGACATTCTGGCCATTGATAAGTCCCTGACACCAATCACCCTGGTCCTGGCGGAAGATGGCACCATAGTGGATGATGACGATTACTTTCTGTGTCTACCTTCCAATACTAAGTTTGTGGCATTGGCCAATAATGAGAAGTGGGCATACAACAATTCAGGTAAGAAATTCTAGCCACATACAAAACAGCCTACACAGTACAGCATCCACCATGATTACTTTCACTGCACAGACAATTGCCATTTGTCTGGCTTTTTAAGCATTTGTTCAACAGACATTTACTGAGCACTTTCTACATGCCAGACATGGTGCTGAGTCCTGGGGATAAAGGTGAATGAGGCTGGGCACAGTGGCTCACACCTGTAATCCCAGCACTTTGGGAGGCCGAGGCGGGCAGATCACCTGAGGTCAGAAGTTTGAGACCAGCCTGGCCAACATAGCAAAACCCCATCTCTACTGAAAATACAAAAAATTAGTCAGGCATGGTAGCAGGCACCTATAATCCCAGCTACCTGGGAGGCTGAGGCAGGAGAATTGCTTGGACCTGGGAGGTGGTGGTTGCAGTGAGCCTGAGATGGTGCCGCTGCACTCCAACCTGGATGACAGAGCGACACTCGTTCTCAAAAAAAAAAAAAAAGATGAATGAGACGTGGGTCCAGTTCTCAACTAACTCACAGACAGACAGCAAGTAAAATGCAGCTTGGCAGGGAGCTCAGTGCTGCCGGCTGCAGTCTGGCTGGTTAGGTCTGGATCCCAGGTCTGCCATTTACTAACCAGGTGTCCTTGTGCAAATTCATCATCCCTCAGTGCCTTTTCGACATCATAATTACAGTACCTGTCTCCTAGGATTGTTACAAAGATAATCTAGTACATAGCAAACCAGGGTTTCTCAATGATACTGTTGGCGTTTGGGGCTGGAGTTGTGGGAGGATGCTTTGTATATTGTAGGATGGTTAGCAGCATCTGAGATGTCAGGAACTTCCCCTACCCCGACAACTGTGATAACCAAGAATAAATGACTCCAGATATTGTCAGATGTCTCCTGAGGGGAAAAATCGCTCCTCCTTGAGAACCACTGATATGAAACATTTACATCTTTTTTTTTTTTTTTTTTTTTTTTTTTTTTTTTTGAGACGGAGTTTCGCTCTTGTTACCCAGGCTGGAGTGCAATGGCGCGATCTCGGCTCACCGCAACCTCCCCCTCCTGGGTTCAGGGAATTCTCCTGCCTCAGCCTCCTGAGTAGCTGGGATTACAGGCACGCGCCACCATGCCCAGCTAATTTTTTGCACTTTTAGTAGAGACGGGGTTTCACCATGTTGACCAGAATGGTCTCGATCTCTTGACCTCGTGATCCACCCGCCTCGGCCTCCCAAAGTGCTGGGATTACAGGCTTGAGCCACCGCGCCCGGCCTACATTTACATCTTAACTGGCACATAGTTAAGGACTTAATAAATGTTACCTGTCACTGTCATCATCATCACAGGAGATACAAAGGGGACTAACATTGGTGACCAAGGATCAAAAGGTGTCTTGAGAAGGGGGTTAGTTTTAGGGAAGGACTTAAAAAGTCTCAGCCGGGCACGGCGGCTCACGCCTGTAATCCCAGCGCTTTGGGAGGCCAAGGCGGGTAGATCACGAGGTCAGGAGATCGAGACCATCCTGGCCAACGTGGTGAAATCCTGTCTCTACTAAAATATAAAAAAAAACCAGATGGGCATGGTGGTGCGCACCTGTAGTCCCAGCTACTCAGGAGGCTGAGGCAGGAGAATCGCTTGAACCGAGGTGGAGTTTGTAGTGAGCCAAGATTGTGCCACTGCACTCCAGCCTGGCAGCAGAGCAAGACTGCCTCCAGGAAAAAAAAAAAGTGTTGTGAAGTGTGCCACAAAATTGAAGAAATTATCCTACAGCATGGCGCTACCAGCCACCTTTGTACTCAGGCCTAAGGGACAGCAATCAACGGCTACAGCTCCCTCACTGAAAGCAGGGACCAATCCCCAAGCACTGGAGAAGTGGTGCCAAGAATGACTGTTTTTGTATACCAAAACAGGACATACCTGTTGACACAGGCCAAAAAAGGAAGTGTGAGAAGATTCTGTATATGTGTAATCATACATTGGGTTTAAATGGAGTTTGAGATCAGCCTGGCCAACATGGTGAAACTCCGTCTCTACTAAAAATACAAAAATTAGCTGGGCATGGTGTTGGGCACCTGTAATCCCAGCTACTCAGAAGGCTGAGGCAGGAAAATCGCTTGAACCCGGGAGGTGGAGGTTACAGTGAGGCGAGATCGCGCCACTGCACTCCAGCCTGGGTGACAGAGTGAGACTCCATCTCAGGAAAAAAAAGATGAAAGAAGAGGGAAGATCAAGGTCCTAGGTGGAGATTGGCCCTCCTGTGAATCCTTGAGATAAAGTGCTTCTCACCCATTGAAATTAATCTAGACCCCCAAGAGGGCTGTGTGTGCTGCGGGGGAGGTGAAAGCAGCACTTCGGGTTGTTCTGACTGTGACTGCCATTTTCTCCCATGTGTCAGATGGAGGTACAGCTTGGATTTCCCAAGAGTCCTTTGATGCAGATGAAACAGACAGCGGGGCAGGGGTGAAGTGGAAGAATGTGGCCAGGCAGCTGAAGGAAGACCTGTCCAGCATCATCCTCCTGTCCGAGGACGACCTCCAGGTAAGCCTCCTCCACAACCTGCAGCCTGGGCCGCCCCAGCACCTCCTTAGCTTCCATACTTGCCATGGTGATTTCTTTGTTTTAATCTTAATTTTTAAATAATTTTTAGCCGGGCGCGGTGGCTCAAGCCTGTAATCCCAGCACTTTGGGAGGCCGAGGCGGGTGGATCACGAGGTCAAGAGATCGAGACCGTCCTGGTCAATATAGTGAAACCCCGTGTCTACTAAAAATACAAAACATTAGCTGGTCGTGGTGGCGCGTGCCTGTAATCCCAGCTACTCAGGAGGCTGAGGCAGGAGAATTGCCCGAACCCAGGAGGTGGAGGTTGTGGTGAGCCGGGATCACGCCATTGCACTCCAGCCTGGGTAACAAGAGCGAAACTCCGTCTCAAAAAATAAATAAATAAATAATTTTAAAATTACAGCCAAGATTTTTCATCTTCTCATTCTCACCTAGAGTAATTTTTCAACCCTCATCACAAAGCAGAATATCTGTGGATTTATTTTTTTTTTTTTTTGAGATGGAGTCTCACACTGTCACCCACGCTGGAGTGCCGTGGCACAATCTTGGCTCACTGCAACCTCTGCCTCTTGGGTTCAAGCGATTCTCCTTCCTCAGCCTCCCAAGTAGCTCGGATTACAGGCGCCTGCCACTGTATCTGGCTAATTTTTGTATTTTTAGTACAGATGGGGTTTCACCATGTTGGCCAGGCTGGTCACAAACTCCTGACCTTATGATCCACCCACCTTGGCTTCCCAATGTGCTGGAATTATAGGCATGAGCCACCGCTCCCGGTGTTTTGTTTTGTTTTGTTTTGTTTTTGTTTTTTTTTTTTGAGACACAGTCTCTGTCACCCAGGCTGGAGTGCAGTGGCACAATCTCAGTTCACTGCAGTCTCCACCTCCTGGGTTCAAGTGATTCTCCTGCCTCGGCACCTCAGCGTACCAGGTAGCTGGGATTACAGGTACACACCAACATAACCGACTAATTTTTGTATTTTTAGTAGAGACAAGGTTTCATCCTGTTGACCAGGATGGTCTCGAACTCCTGACCTCAAGTGACCCACCCGCCTCAGCCTCCCAAGGTGCTAGGATGACAGGGTGTGCCACCGCACTCGGCCGGATTTTTTTTTAAATACAGGTACCCAGGAGCCAGCCTAAACCTAGTTAGGTAGATGCTGGGGTCAGGGGCGCACGCTGGGGAATGTCGTGTTGGAGTAGCTGGTTTCATGTCCCAGCACTGTCACTATGACTTTGGGCCGGCAACTTAGCTTCTCTCCTTTTCTCTCCAGTAAGATCGGGATAAAAATAGTACGTTTTCATTCAAAGGAATTTTCTCTTTGAGACAGGGTCTTGCTCTGTTGCCCAGTGCAGTGGCATGATCATAGCTCATGGCCTCCTCGACCTCCTGGGCTTGAGCAGTCCTCCCACCTACACCTCTCCAGTAGCTGAGACTACAGGCGTGCACCACCACACTGGGCTATTTTGTTGTTGTTTTTAATTTTTTGTAGGTCAGGTACAGTGGCTCATACCTGTAATCCTAGCACTTTGGGAGGCCAAGGCGAGCAGATTACCTGAGTTCAGGAGTTTCAAACCAGTCCAGGAAATGTGGTAAAAGCATATCTCTACAAAAATTACGAAAATTAGCTGGGTATGGTGGCATGTCCCTATAGTTCCAGCTACTCAGGAAACTGAGGCGGGAGGATCACTTGAGCCCGGGTGGTCAAGGCTTCAGTGAGCCATGACTCTACCACACCAAGCTGGGCAACAGAGCCAGACTCTGTCTCAACAAGATAAAATAATTAATTTGTTATAGAGACAGGGTCTTCACATGTTGCCTAGGCTGGTCTTGAACTCCTGGGCTCAACCAGTCCTCCCACCTTGGCCTCCCAAAGTGCTGGGATTATTGATATGAGCCTCTGTGCCCAGCCCCCAAAAATATTTATTGAGCCCTATCCTGTGCCTGTCATGGTTCTACGCGCTGGGTGTGCAGTGGTGAACAAGCCAGACACAGTCTCTGCTCTAACAGAACTTGTATTCCGATGAAGGGAGGCAGGCAAAACCAGAAAGCATATCAGACTGGGTGGTATCAGAGAGTGATGGGTGCTACTTAGATTGGAACATGGAGGAAGGCCTCTTTGAGGAAATGATTTCTTGGTGTTTTGTGTTTGTTTTGCTTTCGTTTGTTTGTTAGTGTTTGTTTTGAGACAAGGTCAGGCTCAGTCACCCAGGCTGGAGTGCAGTGGTGCGATCTCGGCTCACTGCAGCCTCTGCCTCCTGGACTCAAGCGATCCTCCCACCTCAGCCTCCCAAGTAGCTGGGACCACAGGCATACTTCACCATGTCTGGCTAATTTTTATATTTTTGGTAAACACAGGGTTTCACCATGTTGCCCAAGCTGGTCTTAAACTCCTGGGCTCAAGCAGTCCTCCTGCCTCAGCCTCCCAGAGTGCTGGGATTATAGGTGTAAGCCACTACACCCAATGACCCTTTTTCACAATGTTAACAGTAGAGGAAAATTGGAAAAATCACATGCTTTTCTCTTGACTCTTAGCCAACCATCATAGTAGGTAACTCTGGGAAGTGGAGTTCTGAAATGAATGTATTTGAGAGGTTGAACCCTGTGTTTAGAAAGTCCTTGTAGCCCAGAGCAGTGGCTCACACCTATAATCCCAGCACTTTGGGAGGCCAAGGTGGGTGGATCACCTGAGGTCAGAAGTTTGAGACCAGCCTGGGCAACATGGCAAAACCCCATCTCTACTAAAAATACAAAAATTATCTGGGTGTGGTGGCACATGCCTGTAATCCCAGCTACTAGGGAGGCTGAGGCAGGAAAATCGCTTGGACCCAGGAGGCAGAGGTTGCAGTGAGCCGAGATCGTGCCACTGCACTCCAGTCTGGGTAACATAGTGAGACTCTGTTACAAGAAAGAAAAAAAAAAAAGGCCACGGGTGGTAGCTCATACCTGTAATCCCAGCACTTTGGGAGGCCGTGGCAGGTGGATCACTTGAGGTCAGGAGTTCAGGAGCAGCCTAGCCAACATGGTGAAAGCCCGTCTTTACTGGGCCAGGCGTAGTGGTTCACGCCTGTAATCCAGGCACTTTGGAGGTCAAGGCAGGTGGATCACCTGAGGTTGGAAGTTCAAGACCAGCCTGACCAACATGGTGAAAACCTGTCTTAAAAAAATAAAAATTTTAAAAAGCCCATCTTTACTAAAAATTCAAAGTTAGCTCGGTGTGGTAGTGCATGCCTGTAGTCCCAGCTACTCAGGAGGCTATTAGGAGAATCGCTTGAACCTGGGAGGCAGAGGTTACAGTGAGCCAACATCACACCATTGCACTACAGCCTGCGTGACAGAGCGAGACTCCGTCTCAAAATAAATAAATAAATAAAAATAAGAAGGAAATCCTTGTAGATTTCTCAGAGTCTGTGTTTGTTTGTTAGATGCTTGTTGACGTTCCCTGCTCAGACCTGGCGCAGGAACTACACCAAAGTTGTGCCACCGTCCAGGGGCTGCAGCACACACTCCAGCAAGTGCTTGACCAGAGAGAGGAAGTGCGCCGGTCCAAGCAGCTCCTGCAGCTGTACCTCCAGGCTTTGGAGAAAGAGGGCAGCGTCTTGTCAAAGCAGGAAGGTAGGACTCCCAAGAATTCGGGGCTGATGGAGGTGTCCCTTTAGAGGACACTATATTTGTAATGCAGCTAGACACTGCAGTCACGGTGGCTGGGGTGCTCGAAGGGCTCGTTCCTCTCTTGCCTGGCCAGTTATTCTGACAGGTTGGTCACGTGGCTGTAGGGTCACTCCCTGTCTGATCTGTCTCGTGCCTCCTTTGCAGAGCCCAAAGCTGCCTTTGGTGAGGAGGCGGATGCAGTAGACACTGGTATCAGCGGAGAGGCCTCCTCGGATGTTGCACTGGCGAGCCACATCCTTACTGCACTGAGGGAGAAGCCGGCTCCAGAACTGAGCTTATCTAGCCAGGATTTGGAGGTGGGCAGAAACCAGGGTCACTGAGCTACAGAGAAGGACCTGCCCTGGGATGTAATATTGTCGTGCAGAGGCATGTGGGGCCTTTTGTTCACTGCTGCAGCCTGTGAATCCTAGCTGCCAGTTTGCCTATAATATGCCAGAGCATCTACAAAAATCTCATTAATCTAAATCAAAATAGCTTTAAAGAAAAACGCATATACTTCCTCAGATCATCGAACAGACCCTGGTCCAAGGTTGGTAATGAAGTGACTGTTCCTGACAGGGAAGAATAGCAGGGCCCAATCTTCTGAGATGGCTTCTGGCTCTTTCCGTGGTCAAAGAAGATCCATAGTCCATCCTGAGGTCTGTTAACGTCACCTGAAAAGGCAGCCTTGAGGGAATCATCGCCTGCTGGCTAAGACCAGAGAACTAAAAGCTTGAGGAAGGGAACCCGTCCAGGCGGGTGCTACTTCTGATTCTTTGTCCTTGTCCCTGTCACAAGTGCCTCCCTGTTGTAGATAGAAGGGAAGGAAACAGTTGACTTGAGCCTGGCTGCATTTCCTGAGGGTGGAGGACTTTGGGGTCGCTCCAAGTAAACTTTCCAAGGACTTCTTCCTGTCGGTTTAAGAAAAGGCCCATGCCAATTGATGGTAAAGGAAACCTGGCATTTCGGTGTAAAGAGGCAACATAAACGGATACTGCCTCATCTCACTCCCCAAAAGAGACTCAGGAGAGCAGCAGGTGAGGGCGCACAACGCCTCAGTTCTCAGGGCTTCTTCTTCTTGCTGCAGCTGGTTACCAAGGAAGACCCCAGAGCACTGGCTGTAGCTTTGAACTGGGACGTAGAGAAGACGGAGGCTGTTCAGGAGGCCTGTGACCGGGAGCTCGCCCTGCGCCTGCAGCAGATGCAGAGCCTGCATTCTCTCCGGAGCATCTCTGCCAGGAAGACCTCACTGCCTGGAGAACCACAGAATCCTAAGCGAGCCAGACAGGATCACACATAGCAGCGGGAAGTGTGCCAAGGAAACGCGAGGCCTTGTTTATCGGTATTCACCCTCAGCCTGAGCATTTGACTACCTGTGTACTACTCTGCCCTCTGCCTTAGAGTGCGTTCCAGAAAAGCTATTCCAGGTCTCAACATACGCCCTTCCACCAATTCTGTACTTTTTTTTAATTTATTTATTTCAGCCCCACAAGCTTCAGGACTTCTGCCAATTTTGAATGATATAGCTGCACCAACAATATCCCCCCTCCTCTAATTACATATTCTTATGTTCTCTGTTCAGAAGTAATTGGTGGTGACTCTGGGCACACTGCCTAACATTTAGCCGTGCTCCACATGGAACAATTTAAAAAAAGAAAAAGGTTTGTTTTGATTTTCACCAAAATCTTTGACGTGATCAGTTTAAAACAACAAAAAGAAGAAGATTTGTCACACCTTTTATGTTTTAAAAAAAAAGAAAAAAAGGAAAGGCCAGGCGTGGTGGCTCACACCTGTAATCCCAGCACTTCGGGAGGCCAATGCGAGCGGATCACCTGAGGTCAGGAGTTCGAGACCAACCTGGCCAACATGGTGAAACCCCATCTCTACTAAAAATACAAAAATTAGTTTGAACCTCCGCCTCTGGGTTCAAGCGATACTCCTGCCTCACCTTCCTAAGTAGCTGGGATTATAGATGTGCACCACCATGCCTGGTTAATTTTTGCATTTTTAGTAGAAACAGGTTTCACCATGTTGGTCAGGCTGGTCTTCAACTCCTGACCTCAGGTGATCTATCTGCCTTGGCTTCCCAAAGTGCTGGGATTACACATGTGAGCCACTGCCCCTGGCCAGAAAAAAAGTTTTTTTTTTGTTTTTTTTTTTTTGAGACGGAGTTTCACTCTTATTACCCAGGCTGGAGTGCAATGGCGCGATCTCAGCTCACCGCAACCTCCGCCTCCTGGGTTCAGGCAATTCTCCTGTCTCAGCCTCCTGAGTAGCTGGGATTACAGGCACGCGCCACAATGCTCAGCTAATTTTTTGTATTTTTAGTAGAGACGGGGTTTCACCATGTTGACCAGGATGGTCTCGATCTCTTGACCTCGTGATCCACCCGCCTCAGCCTCCCAAAGTGCTGGGATTACAGGCTTGAGCCACCGCACCCGGCTAAAAAGTTTTTAAATAAATAAAGTAATTATCAGATTAGTCAACATAGGAAGACCCTGTCTCTCTTTTTTTTTTTTTTAATATGTCCTAGACCTGGAATGCAATTTTTCTTTTTTTTTTTTTTTTTTTTTTTTTTTTTTGAGATGGAGTCTCACTGTCATTGAGGCTGGAGCACAATGACGAGATGTTGGCTCACTGCAACCTCCACCTCCTGAGTTCAAGCAATCCTTCTGCCTCAGCCTCCCTAATAGCTGGGATTACAGGTACCCGCCACTGCATCTGGCTAATTTTTCTATTTTTAGTAGAGACAGGGTTTCACCATCTTGGCCAGGCTGGTCTCAAACTCCTGACCTCATGATCTATCAACCTCAGCCTCCCAAAGTTCTGGAATTACAGGTGTGAGCCACCGTGGCCGGCCATAAGAGACAGGCATAGTGGCACTGACCTATAGTCCTAGCTACTGAGGAGGCTGAGGTGAGAGGATCACTTGAGCCCAGGAGTTCAAGGCTGCAATGAGCTCTGATTATGCCAACACACCCCAGCCTGGATGATAAGAGTAAGACCCTATCTTAAAAAAAAAAAAAAAGGTAATTGTCAAGGGTATTGAAAAGAAATGGTCATATTTCAGACTCATTTTCCTTATTCTGAAGATAGTACTGCAGAATTTTTTTTTTTTTTTTTTTTTTTTTTTGAGACGGAGTTTCGCTCTTGTTACCCAGGCTGGAGTGCAATGGCGCGATCTCAGCTCACTGCAACCTCCGCCTCCTGGGTTCAGCCTGCCTCAGCCTCCTGAGTAGCTGGGATTACAGGCATGCGCCACCATACCCAGCTAATTTTTTGTATTTTTAGTAGAGACAGGGTTTCACCACATTGACCAGGTTGGTCTCGATCTCTTGACCTCGTGATCCACCCGCCTCGGCCTCCCAAAGTGCTGGGATTACAGGCTTGAGCCACCGTGCCCAGCCAGTACTGCAGAATTTTAAGCACGGATAATGGTGGAGACAGTGACATGGTGAATTTTAAGCAGAAGTTTAAGCATACATAATGGTGGAGACAGAGTGTCGATTATGGCCACAAACTTGTTTCTGCAGTTAATGAATATTTATATTTGTTTGTTTAAAGATACATATTTGCCTGGAAAGTGCTGTTAAAAAGAAATAAATAAAGATACATATTAACCTTGTAGACCATAGGGACATACAGAGAGTCCATTTCTAGTATCTAATTCAGTACTGTGAAATTACATCTCACCACTGTGAAACTCTTTTCAGTTTTCTAATTGTTTTATCAGCAGGGGGTATAAAAGGTCATTAAAGCAATTTCCATGTGCTGTGACTGCAAGTCTCTGGGTATGAAGCAGAGCAGGCCTGGCTCCTCTTCCTCCTGTCTCTGTACAGACTGGTTCTGCAGGTTTGCTAACCTACAGTACACTCTCCTTGCAGGGAAAAGGTGATGAGTTATCATGGACTTACCTGGCCATTTTTTATGCATGCTTAGAGCAAAACAGAATGCTATTAAGAGATTTATGGGCAGCCAGGCGCGGTGGCTCACACCTGTAATCCAAGCACTTTGGAGGCCAAGGCTGGCGGATCACCTGAGGTCGGGAGTTCAAGACCAGCCTGACCAACACGGTGAAACCCGATCTATAAAAAATAAAAAAAATAAAAATAAATAAATAAAGAGATGTATTGGCTAGTTATTAAGTAAAGAAATATCACAAAAGGCCGGGTGCAGTGGCTCATGCCTGTAATCCCAGCACTTTGGGAGGCCGAGGTGCATAGATCATCTGAGGTCAGGAATTTGAGACCAGCCTGGCCAACCTGGTAAAACCCCATCTCTACTAAAAATACACAAAATAAGCCAGGCATAGTGGCACGCGCCTGTAGTCCCAGCTACTTGGGAGGCTGAGGCATGAGAATTGCTTGAACTCAGGAGGCAGAGGTTGCAGTGAGCCGAAATTGCACCACTGTACTCCAGCGTGGGCAACAGAATGAGACTCTGTCACACACAGAAAAAAAGAAAGAACTATCACTATAGGCCAGATGCGGTGGCTCACACCTGTAATCGCAACACTTTGGGAGGCCAAAGCGGGTTCACCTGAGGTCAGGAGTTCAAGACTAGTCCAACCAACACTACAAACCCTGCCTCTACTAAATACAAAAATTAGCCAGGCGTAGTTGTGGACACCTGTAATCCCAGCTACTTGGGTGGCTGAGGAAGGAGAATCACTTGAACCTGGGAGATGGAGGTTGCAGTGAGCTGAAATCACACCACTGCACTCCAGCCTGGGCAACAGAGCAGGACTCTGTCTCAAAAAAAAAAAAAAAAAAATCACAGTAAGTCCTACGGTAAAGATGGGGGTACAGAAAACAAACAGAACAAAAACAACTTTCCTTTTCCTGTGATTCAGGGTGAGCTTAGGTCTGTGCAGCATCCTGTTCTAATGCCCTCCACGGTTCTCACCAGTCCCAATATTTCCCTTTTCATAGCGTATTTTGTAATGCCTCCTTAACTATCCCTTACTAAGAAGCCATCATTGATAATCTACCTACACTCATCCTTACAGCAGCATCAATATATTGCCCCAAATGTACTATTTCAGGAATGTACTATTTAAAGGAAAATAATTTCCAATAAAGCGACTGTCAGATGCTTGGCACTGACAGAATTGCCATGCATCTGGCAGGCTGGCTGGCACATGGGCACAGCGATTGTCAGCTCTAATGCCATCAGCAGCATTGCCCTCAGTAATAGGATTTCCCACAGCAGTAAACATATCTGTCCTTGATTTACAAGTACCTACATTCCTAGGAAATCCAGGGGACATGAAAACACCATGTTACCCAGGCTGGCCTCAAACTCCAGGCCTCAAGCAATCCTCCCACATCAGCTTCCCAGAGTTTTGGGATTACAGGCATGAGCCACCACACCCAGCCAAAATATTTTCCTTATTTCTGTGAAACACAGAGCTTTCGTTGACTCATCTGGCTGTTGGTATTGGCATTCTATACTTGAATCAAACCCACCAAGAGGCTGAACTGGGTAGGATAATGCAAAAAGTACTGTGGATTTGGGACTGAGACAAACCGGATTGAGTCTAACCTCTTAGTCTAAAGCCCCAAGCTTGAAAGGGTTAAATGAAGTACTATGTTTTGTTTTGTTGTTTAAGACCTGGCTCTTCCCCAGGCTACAGTGCAGTGGCATAATCGGCTCACTGCAACCTCCATCTTCCAGGTTCAAGTGATTCTCTTGCCTCAGCCTCCAGAGTAGCTGTGATTACAGGTGCCCGCCACCATGCCCGGCCAATTTTTTTTTTCTTTTCTTTTTTTTTTTTTTTTTTTTTGAGACGGAGTTTCGCTCTTGTTACCCAGGCTGGAGTGCAATGGCGCGATCTCGGCTCACTGCAACCTCCGCCTCCTGGGTTCAGGCAATTCTCCTGCCTCAGCCTCCTGAGTAGCTGGGATTACAGGCATGCGCCACCATGCCCAGCTAACTTTTTTAAATATTTTTAGTAGAGATGGGGTTTCACCATGTTGACCAGGATGGTCTCGATCTCTTGACCTCGTGATCCACCCACCTCGGCCTCCCAAAGTGCTGGGATTACAGGCTTGAGCCACCGCACCCGGCTTTTTTTTTTAAATGTATTTTTAGTAGACACATGTTGGCCGGGCTGGTCTCAAACTCCTGACCTCAAGTGATCCACCTGCCATGGGCTCCCAACGTGCTGGGATTACAAGTGGTGAGTCACCAGGCCCAGCCTAAATGAACCGACCAAAACTGGGGAACATAACAAGGCCCCATCTCTACAAAAATTTAAAAAATAAAAATTAGCCGGGTATAGCACATGCCTGTAATCCTAGATACTCAGGCGGCTAAGGCAGAAGGGTCACTTGAGCCCAGGAGTTCGAGGCTGCAGTGAGCTATGATTGTGCCACTGTACTCCACCCTGGGTGGCAGAGTGAGGCCCTGTCTCAAAATAAATAATCCAGTCCCCCCAATAAAGGAATGAAGTACTGTAATGAGAAAGATCATAGTACTTACCATATAGTAGACAGTGGAGAGTGGTTCTCTTTCATTTCCCAGGGGCAGACAGCTGGGGTGCAGGAGTCCTCTATCAAAGAGTCAGTAGGGCAAAGACT